ACACGCTTCGTGGCCCCATAGCGTGCTCACCGAAGGCCCCAGTGGCAGGGTCCGCATCGCGTGCGGTTATCCATTTCGGCGCACCCCTCACACGTTTCGTGGCCCCTCAGGGTGCTCCACCGAAGGCCCTAGTGACAGGGTCTACATGCAGTTTCACCTCCGTTTCGGCCAGGCCCCATAGGGTGTTCCACCGAAGGCCCCAGTGGCAGGGTCCGCATGCAGTTCCACTTCCATTTCGGTGCACCCGTCACACGTTTCGCGGCCCCACCGGGTGCTCCACCGAAGGCCCCAGTGGCAGGGTCCGCATGCAGTTGCACCTGCATTTCGGCGCACCCCTCACACCGTTCATGGCCCCATAGGGCGCTCCGCCGAAGGACCCAGTGACAGGGTCTGCATGCAGTTTCACCTCCATTTCGACGCACCCCTCACACGTGGCCCCATGGGGTGCTCCGCTGAAGGTCCCAGTGGCAGGGCCCGTATGCAGTTCCACCCCTATTTCTGCGCACCCCTCACACGCTTCTTGGCCCCATAGCGTGCTCCACCGAAGGACCCAGCGGCAGGGTCTGCATGCAGTTCCACCTCCATTTCGACGCACCCGTCACACGTTTCGCGGCCCCATAGGGTGCTCCGCCGAAGGCCCCAGTGGCAGGGTCCGCGTGCAGTCTCACTTCCATGTTGGCTCACCCCTCACACGCTTCGTGGCCCCATAGCGTGCTCCACCGAAGGCCCCAGCGGCAGGGCTTGCATGCAGTTCCACCTACATTTCGGCGCACCCCTCACATGTTTCGTGGCCCCATGGGATGCTCCGCCGAAGATCCCAGTGGAACCCTTCGCACGCGTCCTTGGCACCCATTTCGGCGCACCCCTCACACGCTTCTTGGCCCCTATGAGGAGCTCCATCGAAGGTCCCAGTGGCACCGTTCGCATGCGTCCCTGACCCTCATTTCGGTACACCCACCACATGTTTCATGGCCGTATAGGAATCTCCACCGAAGACTATGCTCACAACTGCGTCACTCACAATTGCATATGGTTGGGTCCTTCGCCAGTTTAATTTCATGACGCGAAGGGTTCTGAGACCTCAGCCGTGCCGGCTTCCACTGTGCCTGGCGCACCTCCTCCCTCCTCCCCCCGCGTGCGCGGGAGCTCGCGGAGTTACACCCGGCCGTCCATTGGCTCCGCCAGGTCGCCAAGCAAAGACTTGACAAGTTTCGTCCAGCAGGTGGTGCGCTGGGCAGGGGAGCAGAACGTGCGCATATCTGCCAGGGACACTGTGGACGCGGATCTCCTGCCCACCGAGGCCAGTCGCCAGGAGGCCCGCTCCCTTGAGGCCGAGGCCCCCCTTCCAGCAACAGTGCCTCCCTGAGCTTCGAGTGGCGATCGACACCACGTTGTGGGCGGACGGGGGATCTGAGGTGGCATGAGTGACGCGTCTCGCAAGGCACACTCTCAGTTTAGCGCGTGTGTGCGGGCCTGACGGCTTCCCAATCCCCAGGGAGTCTTCGGTCATGTTTTGTGCGGGGTCCCCAGGGAGTCCCCGGGGCCTGTGCGTGGGAAGGCATCAAGAGCCTCTGTCAATCCTGCATGCCTGCCCCGGCCAAGGATGCTTGGAGCAGGCAAGAGGCTACGGTCTGGATTCTTGGCTCAGCGTATGGCTCCGCCAGTTCTGGCCCACCGCGCTTCGGCGCGACACGCTATCCGCTTCGCGGTCTCCAGGCGCCCACTTTCCGAGCCTCTCCGAGCCTCCCACCCCGCGGAGCGGAGCGACACGCTGTCCGCCTGCAGGGCGCAGTGTGTCGCCGGGGCCGCCGGGACGACGCGCTTCCTGGCTGGCCCCCCTATGTACAAGGGTTGGACCTCTAGGCCCAGCGAGGCGGCCCTCCCTGCACGACCGCGCCGCCACTGGTTGCCTCGATCCCCCGACGAACCAGCATTCTGCCAAGGGGAGGCGCGGCAACAGGCATAGGCGATGCAGCGTCCTCGAATGGTTGATACATCGACGATGCATCGTTGATATCAGGACGATGCATAGACGATCCCCCGCGACGTTGCCACCCTATCACTGCCCCTCCGGGGGGTCGGTGGATGGTGGAGCGAGCGAGGTGTGGTGGGGAGAGACATGGACGACCCAGCAGGCGTGTGCGAGATTCGGCCTCGCCCCTGCCGAGCTGGCGGCATGCTCAGATCGCCTGGAAGCAACCCAGGCGGCCTTCAAGAGGTCAAGAGAGCCACGAGAGGTGCCAGTCCAGAGCCAACAGATGGTCGCAGTTATTGGCTTCAGGATGGACCTCAAATAGATATTGATATGGGTTTCTAATGTTCTGGGATTCTTGAGCAGGGTTCGTAGTGTCTCGCCCGGAACATTATGAGCCTGGGTTTCAATGTTCTGGGAATATTAACTGGGGTTCATAATGTTCCGGCCGGAACATTATAAACCCTGGCTTATAATGTTCTGGGCCTAATATCGACTCCAAAAACATACGAACTCGGGTTCATAATGTTCCGGGAGTATTGACCAGGGTTTATAATGTCCCGGGAATAATGATACAGGTTTTCGTGAAACCGGAATGATGATGATTATTAGTTTCCCCCCACCCCCCGGGTTCCCCACCAGGTTTTTCCATGTCGCAATATGGACCCCGGTTTATTATCTCCAGGAGATAGTAAACCCGGATTTATAACGTTTCCGGAATATTGGCCCAGGGTTACTTATTTGGAAATGATAATGATTGCGCCTGGGGGGCGCCGTTTAAGAGTACGTTCGGGACTGAAATCAACCCTGGTCCATAATGTTGCAATATTGAACTTGGGCGGATTATTCCGGAGAGATCTTGATTCGGCCGGGGGGGGCCTGAGCCCGATCCATTTACAGGATAATAATCCACAGGGTATCATCTGAAGCTATTGAATCTAGATTTTCATTCTTAGGTGATAAACCACGGTCGACGAGGATTTCACGCCTACCCTCATTGGCTTGGGCTTGGTTCAGAGTTCGCAGGAGGGGGGGGGCGAACCCGAATCCCCCTTGGGAGCTGCAGGCATGTTGCGGGCGTTCGGAATGGTGAGGCTCACGTTTTGTTTCGCATGTCTGCCACACCCTGTGCCCCATGAATGGCCTCGCTCCTGTCACTAACGGTGCGCGACATGGCAGATGAGAAATGAGAGGAGGATGAGGAGGACGAGGAGGAGGAGAGGTAGAGCTCGAGGCGGAGTTGAAGGAGAATAATGAGAGGAGAAAAAGGAGGAGGAGGCCTCCTAGGATAGTTCAGGGTTCGTTTCAATTATTCCAGGCGATCCTGGTTTGGGTTCTGAGGGAACTCAGGAGATCCAGGGGCTTAGGAAGTTTAGAGGGAGCGGGGCGAGTTATTGACAAGGCATGAGGAGGAAACCTACTGGGCGGAGTAACGGCTGCTTGGAAGAAGTGCCGTTTCCTTCTGGCATTCTTGTAGTTTCCTTGTGGCTCTCGTCGCTACGGTTGGACGCGGCTCGGACATCAGGCCAGGCGTGTGCCCATGAGAGATACTAGGGTCAATGGTACACGAATTGGAAGGATGCTACCCTCACATCAAACACTACGATTTTAGATGCATTGTTGCTGACCCCTGGGCCCTCAAGGATGTTACATTTCGGGAAATCCCGAAGCCGAACAAGGTGCCCCCCCCCCCGAGGAAGTGGCTGCCAAACTGGCCCTGGTAAGCGAAACAGCCGGGACTCAAGGGCCTGGCCAACCCCTGCCGGCAGAGGAGGGTGGGAGCGGAGGGGCAGGGACAGAAGGAAGAAAGACAAAGAGAGATCCCGACCAAGGCGGAGGAGGAGGAGGAGGAGGAGGAGGAGGAGGAGGAGGAGGAGGAGGAGGAGAGGGGGAGGGTGAGGCTGAGAGGCAGGGACAGGGAGAGATCCCGACCAAGGATGGGATCGGGAGGCCCAGTCGTGATTTGTCCGTGACGCGCTTCTGCTCACGACTGGCTCCACAGGCCCAGACTCTCGCTTCCCTGAAACAGCACAGCAGCGAGCCAGTCTGAGTCCGGGCCCCACCCAGCTCATTCTTCTTCTTCTTCTTCTTCTTCTTTTTCTTCTTGCCCTCCTCCCTCGTCTCCGTCCCCATCCTCGTCGTCACTATCTTTTTCTCCTCCATGGTTATTCCCTCCCTTCTCGCGCTCCCCGTCGTCCTGATCCCATCACTCCCAGCAGAATCCAGCAACTCTGCCTCTTCCTTCTCGTCCCTCCCCTCCTCTTCCTCACTTCCCTCGTCCTCATCCCTCATCCCTCCCACCACGCACCACCGCCTGCCGTCGGCGCTGCCGCACTCGATCTCTGGGGTGGCCCGTTCCAGAGCCAGCGCCTGTCCTGGCCGCGACCCGCGTGCCCTGTCCCAGTTGGGCACCCGCTGCCCGTAGAGCGGCGCGCGGTGGCTCCACCTTCACCCCTCCCCTGCCCTCGTTTGCCGCCCCCTCGGCCTCCTCCTCCACGCCCTCGACCCCCCTCTCCTCCAGGAACCGCCACCCTCCTTGCCCGCCGCCCGCTCGCCTCCCCTCCCCGTCGCCCTCGCAAGCCGCCGCCGCCACCGCCACCACCGCCGCCGGATCCGACGCTGCGAAGACATCGCGACATCGTGGAAAACCGCGACCCGAGCCTTAGACCACGTGGAAAATCACGACCGGAAAAACAACAACAACAAAAAAGAGACCCCGTCTTGCTGCGCAGTTTCTCGAGCCGGATCGACCTGCGAGGGCCCCGGGGCCCGAAGATGGGCGACGGCGCCCGTTGCGAAACCATGGCATCGCCAGGAGCTCGGGGCCGCCGCCGCCGCCGCCTCCGCCGCCGCCGCCGCCCTCCGCCGCCGCCGCCTGCAGGCACGGCCGTGGGCACCGCCGGCCGTCGCTGCCGTCGCTGCCGTCGCCCGCCGCGGCCCTCGCCGCCGCCGGCGCCGCCCCCCGCCGCCGCCGCCGCCTGCGGGCAGCGCCGTGTAGAGAGGAACCGCCGGCCGCCGCCGCCCCCGCGCCGCGCCCGCGGAGGCCTGCGGCCCGGCGTACCGGGTGCGCGCCCCCCGCGCCGAGGCCCCGCCGTGCGCGGAGGCGGCGGCCGGCGCGGCGGCCGCAGAGCCGGAGGCGCGCTGCCGCCTGCACGCCCTCGGGCCTCTCCTCCTCCTCCTCCTCCTCCTCCTCCTCCTCCTCCTCCTCCTCCTCCTCCTCCTCCTCCTCCTCCTCCTGGCCCCTCCTCCCTACTCCCTACTCCCTACTCCCTCCCCCCCCTCCATCCTCCTGCTTCGCTCGGCATGGCTCGGGCGTGTTCGAGGTGTGCTCGGCGAGGAGCACCGAGGAGCACCCCATGGCGCCTCTCGCGACGGAGAAGCGCACGAGGCCGAACAAGGCGCGAGGAGTGGACGTGCGAGCGGTGGCAAGTGCGGAGGGGAAAGGGTACCCGCCGGACCGAGGTGATTACGAGATCGAGGCCGGCTTGGGGACGGTACCCGAACGTTCTTCGTGTCTGTTGGATGTTCTTGCGGCGGATGGTCTCATGTTCTTTGAGGATGCTTTTAAGTCCTAGGTCCAGCTGTACCCATTCGGGGGCGGAAAAGAGGGGGGTGATGACTAGAGGGGTGGAGATCATGGCGTGGGCCATGATATTTCCCCAGATTTCATGACGCCTCTTCTTCTTTCATTACGTCCCTGGCCCCCCCGCTGGGCCGCGCACATGCCGCCGGTCATGATTTGCACCCCCCCCTCTTGGACACCCCCTTCTTGGCCGCTCCCGACCCATACCGCTACTCCTCCCTCGTCGCCACCGCTGGATTTGCCTCGAACTCCCGGTCGGAGCGCACCCCTGGAGAGGTCCAGGGAGTAGCGGTATCGGTTCGGTACCTTACGGCTTCCCCACTTCTGCCCTCTCGTCACCCAGAAATGCTCATACGATGGGGGCGCTCCAACGAGGACGAGAAAACGGAATGAACGTAAACTCTCGGAGTTCCGCGCGGATTTCTCGGATCGGCGCCTGGGTCCCTCTGGCGCCGCCTCCGGCGCCGCCACCAGCCAGAAAGACCATTATCGGGTTGGGAGGATGCGGCTTGGAGAAATGATCAGATGATCCGTGCTATCGCGTATGTTGAACGGGCTTCTTACACAGTCGTGCCCTGCGTCTTCCCAACCGCTTCCTCCGAACCGGACAATTGCCTTTCCCAGGGAGGGGAACCCAGCGCCGACAAAGAGATCCGCACGGACCTCCAGCAGTCTCTGCTCATGCCGTTGTCTGCTCCTCTGCTCCAGAGAGGGCCTCGGCATCGAGGGTCGAAGGAGTATGGGCATCGCTCGGGCGTGTGCAAGTTCTCCCGGCGAGGACTCTCAAGGAGGAGCTTGGATCAGTTTGCGAAACAGCAAAGACAAGGCACGAAACCACAAAAAACGCACGAGACCGAACAATGCATGGGGAATGGACGTCCGAGCAATGGCAGGGAGTTGGCGTCTCTTTCGCGGCGGGAGGCCAGCGGGCGGCAGCGGAAGCAGGGCCGTGCCGCCAGCGTCCGCCAGCGGAAGCGTAACACGTGCCCCCCCCGGAAGCCAGCGGAAGCCGGCGGAGTGGGATGTGTTTGGGGGTGCCAGTCCTCCGCGCGGCCGCTCTAGTCCTGTTCCCCCCTCTCGCACGTCGGCCAATTCGCCTTTGGGTTGCCCCGAATCGCCGCCCGCTGGAGCAGCTTCTCTGCCTCGCCGCTGGCAGAAAAGCGTTTGGGGTGCAGGATTTGTGTTTTCCGACTACACGTGAGAGTGACCCTTCGCCGAAGTGATTCGGTTCAGGTGGGAAAAAACACAGACACAATTAATCGACGATTCCATCGAACAAGAATCGAGAATATGGGAAGTGGAGGGGCAGACGAAAACCCAGAAAACACAGGAAAGTATGGGGAATCCTGTTATTTGTGTCTTTTTATTTGTGCGTCCTTGGGCCCCTTCATTGGTGCGGGCTCATCGGGGTCCCCCCATGGCTGAGCGCGGTGCGACAGCGCCCCCTTGGTCTGCGCACCAAAGGTCACTCGTGCCCAGGGTCGCTCCATGCGGGTAGCCGGTGTTTGAGTGCCGGTAGGACCGAGGTATAAGAGCGAGGTCTGCTCGGGGAGGGTACCCCAATATTCTTCGTGCTTGTTGGATGTTCTTGTGCATCCTTGGGGAGGGTACCCTCGAGTGTTCTTCAGTTTGGCCGGCGGAGGGCCCCATCTTCTTGGAGGACGGTATTGTATCCTAGGTCTCCGGCCGAAGCAAATTATCATCCACAGAAGCGCCAAGGAATCCGCGTTCGTGCTGTTCCTTTGGTGCTTCTCCTTATTCTTCTGGCTGCACGTGCGTCGGCCTCGCAGGGCCGACGCGCGCTTGCGGATGCTGTAGCTTCTGCTCCGAGACGGGCGCTTTGGGGACGCATCGCTCGGGCACCGACAGATGATTAGACTCTCGTGACACATGTTTGGGCTGTGCGTGTCTCCAAGAGAAGTATGTAGTGCTGGAGGGAGAGAGAGAGAGAGAGACACTGACTCAAAAAATCGTCGATTCCCAGCGGAAGAAAGGAACATATTGGAAGTGGAGGGGAAGACGAATATCCAGAAATCCTTGAATATAAAAGGGATTCCTAGGATTTCTGTCTGCTTATTTGTGTGCCCCTGGGCCCCTGCAACATAGTACCAAAACGTCCTTCTGTGCCCCAGCTCCCGCCCTTCTGGTCGAGGAAGCGGCAATAGGGGCTGAGGCGTGCGGATACGCGACGGGTCCCGCTCGCTCGTAGAGTCGGCACGCTCCTACTTGCTCTCGGACATCGCTGCGCTTGTCCGGCTGCGAGCCGTCAGTGCAGCCCTTCAGATGGCCGATGAAATCTCTGGGCTTGGAGGCGAACAGATGGCGCTCCAGCTTCGCGTCGGCAAGACCCTCCTCTTCTGCGAAGAATCGGCGGCGCGCGAGGGGGGGAAGTGAGAAGGAAAAGGCCTTCTCCGAAGGCGGCGGGACTCCTCAGAAGCCCCCGCGCCTTCTTATAGATTTCCTGTGTCTTCGGGGAAGGCTTAGGAAACTTCTCGCATCTTCGAGGAAGGCTTAGGAAACTTCTCGGACAAGACCGGGGAGCTTCCGAGCCCTCTGAAAAGGCCTTCTCCTTCTCACTTCCCCCCCTTGCCCGCCGCCGAATGAAGAGCACGTGCAAGTGTGGGCGCATCGCCCAATCAGGCGGCCTTGGCCCCATGTTTCGGGGAGGCATCTTCCCGATCCGTGGATCTGGCGCCCGCGCGCCAGCGTGTCCGGGAACGCTCTGAGCAGGCCGCGGCGCCCGAAACAACCCCCAGAGCTGCCAGTTCTCACAAATTCTCGATGTATCCTCGCCCGGTTTTATCCTCGCCCTGGTGTCCTCTTGACAAGATCTCCGGGATTCTCCAAACCTCTGGCAAACTCAACACTGTCAGGTGGGGCAGGGCTCCCCCGTCGCGCCCCCGCCCGGCGTGGCAGGCGCACCCCCCGGTGGCCGAGGAGGTGCTGCTGAGGCTTGCCCTGCGCCTGTCGGCTGCCAGGAGGGCGTGCCGCGCCGGGGGGGGGGGAGCCCCCACCGGTGGCGGCCTCGCAGGCGGAGGCGACGAGAACCGGTGCTTGAAGGCCCTCGGCCTTACTAATTGTTAGCAGCACATGTAAGTAGGTTATAAGTAACCTGCAACTAGGTTGCAAGTAAGTTATAACCATTAGTAATGTTACTAAGTCGGCTAATTCGGGCGGTGCATTTGGAGGTAGATAGCTTGAGTTAGCGAAGTTGCTAACTTCGCTAACTTTTACATGCTTACTTGAAAACAGAGCTGCTGCATCGGGTTTTCCTTGGATGTTGCCTCCAGAAACGCATGCATGTGTTTGGATTTTCGGGATCACGCATATCGGAAATCATGATCCAGACTTGCGTGCGAACGCATTCAGAATATTGTATCGAGCGTTACAAGAATGTTGTGCATTGCAAATGCAACATATCATTTCGAATTCGCGACCCTCTGTTGCACATGTTTTTGAATGTCACTAGAGTTTGGGCTCCAGCCGTTTGGGCGAGGATTGCTGCTGGCGCTTGTGGCGTCCTCCTGCACGCGGCGTGATGAACGCCTCCCGTGAACAGCAGATCGCGGAGGTCCGCCCCAAGATGATGGCCATCAAGGACATGTACTTGCATCCTGATGCAGCGGTGGTCTCATTACTTGAAGACGTATGCAGCATTGCAAGAGGCATAGACTGCCTGAGGGTAGAAAAAATACACTCGAAGTATATGATGGTGTGCACAGAGAATCGTTACGGAGATGGAACCATTCCGAGCGAGGTTATGGATTTGATTTCCAAGATCTTCAAAAATGGATTCAAGAACCCAGCCCTCCAGAATCCAGCTTGCATGGAACTTCCACCAGTGGGCACGCCTGAGTACAATTCAATCAAGAACTTCAATCTCAAAATAATGGAGGACTCAGCGGGCCAGCTGCCGCAGTATGATTGCGATGCAAAGTTCGCATCCTATACGTGCGGCCACACATCCATGGGTTTGCGTTGCATCAACGCAGGGGTTCCAGTACCCACGGTCATGCCAGAGCGTTTCGACAGAATCTCGCACCAAGGGAAATTGTCACTGACGAGGTTACGGGAGGTTCAACCAGACTACGCTAAGGCGTGTGACGAAGGAATTGAGTGGAAGGTCTTTCGGTACGAGTTCGTGAAGGAGTTCCCGTGGATTAGTAATCTTGCTCAGGAGGCTGGCAATGCAGGCCAACAAATTGCCAGATGCGAATCTCGCATGAGTCTCATGTACAAGATCGCAGCAATTGCCAACCGACACCACACGGGTGGCACCATGATCGATTGGGATAGTGTGATCCGCGAGGCGACTCGCGCAGGCTCTCTCTTTCCTGGGGAGATCGATGGCTTAGTAAAATATGTGAAGGAGTTGTCTGGCGGCCTCGGCAACCCGATCTTTCTGAACGAGCTTCGCGACTTCTCGCGGCAGCTGACCTCCCAGTGCGTGGTCACGGGTTCAATGGCGAAGTCTCTCGCCGAGGTGCAGATCAAGCATGAGGGGGCCGCTGCGACATTCAAGCTCGCATGCATGAAGGCGATGACATGTGCGACGGGTAAGTTCGCGAGGGATGGCCATCAGATGCTTTTGAAGCCAGGCGACGTGACCGCCTTGTCGAGCGATAAGAAGTCTACGATTGTAATGGTGGCCGATGAATTTCTTCAGAAAGTGCGACAGATCGCATGCGGTGAGGGCATCACGGCAGACACGGTCGCCTACGGCACCATCGTGGGATTGACTGACGTTCGCGTAGTTCATTTCGTGTTCAACAAGCCCGATGAGCGCTTAGGCACTTGCAAGACGCTGAATGACATCGGGGTCAGCTTCACCACTGCGTTGGCAACGCACGTTGGCAAAGCAGTTGCTAGCCCATGGAAGCAGATCGGTCGCGAGGGCGCATCCAAAGCCGTGACAGGGCAGGCGCGTAGCTCAGATGTGAAAGAGTACACCGCTTCGGGCAAGTGGTCGAACCAAGTGGACAAGCTCAGTGACAAGGGGTTTGAGGTTGGCGCCAAAGTCGCCTTGGCGAGCGACACCTTGGGTGAGAACATTTACGAGCTGATCTCCATCGACGCTGCGACTGGCGTGAAGTTGAAGCTTCAGGCCACGGGCAGTGCGACATGCCACCCCATCGACGACTTCTTACGTGGCAAGTTCGTCGTGTCCACGATTATGAAGGACAGTCTTGCGACCTCGTCGCAATGCATATGGAATGCATATACACCCCCACGCCTTTGAATTCTCGTTCGTCGTTCCCTCATCTCATTTGGCTCTGCGTCGTCATGTCTCATCTTTTTTTTCCCCGCTGCTATCCCATAGAGGAAACGATCGACAAGTTCGCTGATCATGGCCCCCTCAAGTCTGTCGATTACCAGTGGGGTATCGAGGAGGCCAAAATCAGGCTGGCCTTGGATGATGTATACAGCCAGAACGGCAACTGTCTCAAGTACTTGAGTGGCGTGATTACGCCTGTTAAGCTTCGTGCTCTCACCGTAACGCGTTCGTTTGAGGCTGAAGAGCTGGTGCTTGTCCCACTCTCTTCGGCAATCTACTTGAAGAAGCAGACTGATATAGTTCAGTGTGGGCATGTGTTCATGAAGACATACAAGGACCCCAAGGGATTGACGTTCAATATCGTGTTGGCCCCCAGTGGTGGCATCAAGATGCCTAAGGCTGAGACGAACACTGGCGTTGGAGGGCTGAAGCAGGCACCGCATTCGCTCGTTATCCCCTTCTGGCTCGTACAGGATTCAGGTGAGCACGGCACCCCCAACATGAAGCTCAAGACCGTCAAGTCTACAGCTGTCCCATCAGTGCATGTGCCAATTTCGACGAACAAGTGCGCCATCAACAAGGGTGATGTCCTTAGCGCCCAGCTGGCATCGCTCATGCCCAAGCGCAAGGTAGACGATGTGCCTGCTGCGCCCGCGGCTAAGAAGGCCAGGAAGCGATGAGGCTCGCGTGTTGGCAGCATCGGTTACACATACCATGTGTCGTGGGGGGTGTTTATGGAATGTATGAAAGCATCGTCGGAATCGTTCCTCTGCAATCGTTGCATCATTGCGTCAACACGCATCGGACTCGTCTGCAATTGTCCATTGCATCGGCCCGCAGGCGTTTGGCTGTGTCCAAGCGAGTGCACGCTGCATCTGCGCACGCACTGCAGCTGCAGATGGCAGTGAGCGTGCAGCTCCGCACGGTCGTCGAGGGGGGCGGCCTTAAGGATCGCGAGCCATGGGTCCCGAGGGCGGTGATGCATACGGCAGGGGGGCTCTTCGTGGAGCTGTCGAGAGCGGATAGGCAGCTGCAAAAAATTATATCTGTGCCCAACCCCGCCAAGAGCCAATCGCCTCTGGCGACAAATTCGTTTTTCGATCAGATCTTGAAGATGCGCAACGCCGCTTGCACCGAGGCCATTTGGGACCACTTGAAGCAGGCCGACCCATTGCTTCAGCAAGATTGCGACAGGGCCAGCGTCATTAAGAACAATAGGAGTTCCCTGGATATGTCGCAATCGTGGACGCTTCGCGTATTCCCACCAGGGGAGGAGGAAGGAGAGGAGGAGGATGATACATTGGATGATGAGGTGGAGTGGCGGGGGAGGGGGGCGAGGAGGAGGGGCTGAAACAGAGGGGGATGGTGGAGGAGAAATGGGAGGAGGGAAAGGGGGAGGAGGAAGGAGCATAAGGATGACAAAAAAGGATGAGGAGGAGGAATAGGAGATGCCTTCATTCGCTTGCGTGAATAGGCCGCTCTTGGGCCACTCTTGGATCGATCTCTTGACCTTGAGACTTCTTGGGCAATCTTGGATCGCGTGATATCTTGGACAACCTTGGGCAATCTTGGGTCGCGTGATATCCATGCCTGCATGTTGAAGCATCGCGTGATATTGGGACATATACGTGGACATCTTGAAGTATATATGAGCCCCTCTTGGAACCACCGTCCAGGCAAACCACTCCCCCAAGGGGATGAAGGGCGTAGAAGAGAACGCATTCTAGACATGTGCCCTAACGGGATGGTGGTCTACCAGAAACTGTCTCGATATATATGCCCGCAGTCCAGTGCGACCATGGTGATGAGCATTTGCATCACGATGCAGTTACCTTGAAGCTTCTGTTTGAGCTGAATGCTACTAAGAAGGTGTGGGTCGAATGTACGCCAACGGGGCTTGAGTACATACGGGTTGCATCTATCGCAGCAGCGGTTTCATGCAGTCAGGAGGCAACACATCGCTTGCGGTCAGCACCAGCAGGGGTGGAAGGTGTGAAATGCGACAAACGTCGCAGGACGGTGTTCATGGTGGTCGACGGCAAGCGTCTGCAGGAGCGAGTGGACGATTGGACTCCCACGTACATCAACAACGCAGCCCAATCCCTTCGTGATCGCTTAGATAACGAGGCACGTGATGAGGCTGAAGCTGATGGGTCCGAGGAGTACTATGACCCGCCAGTCGCAGCAGGCGATGGCTCGCCACCAGGCGATGGCTCGCCACCAGGCGATGGCTCGCCACCAGGCGATGGTTCGCCAGGCGATGGTTCGCCGCCAGGTGATGGTTCGCCAGGCGATGGTTCGCCACCAGGTGATGGGCCGCCCTCTGTTTTCACTCGCCGACGGGAGATGCGCCAGACGACGCTTAGCTTCCAGTAGCTCCACTCCCTCTTCGCCTTCCCACCTCCCCTTCCCTCTCCCTCCAATCTCTATTCTATTTTGCCTCGCGTGCTCAGTCCGAATCTGGCCCCGCTGGCGGCGGGGACTCAGTAACAGAACTCAGTTCAAGATGCGGAGGGCCATCGTCGCGCATGCCGCTGTTCGGCACATCGGCGTCCCTGCCCATGCTCATGCCCTTGCCCTCGTCGGGGCCATTGCCGCCATCGTAGCCCCCGCCGCTGTCGAGGGCCGTCGCCTTGCCCTTACCACCGTCGTTAATGCTCTTGCCACCGTTGTAGCCCTCGCCATCGTCGTAACCCTGGCCACCGTC